ACATAGTACGTCACGTTATCAAGAAAATGGCGGTGCCCATGTCTTGCTGAGATACTGTACATTAATCTTGTTTTACCTCTCTCATACCCTTTGGCGGGGAATCTTGAAGATTCATGGGCAAGAATACAACAAATCTCTCAGAAAAACTTAAGGTATTTCTTGGGGTGGGGTTACCTTTAAATTACATTACCTTTAAGTTACATTTAAAAGTCATCTTTCTTCAGTTGGGCATCATAACACAGTCCCAGAAATCCAAATATCTCCCTGAAAATACCTGTTCCTCACTCCTAGTTCTGGGGGTGTTTCACAAAGATCTGAAGTTGAAGTTAACTTTAAGTTGGACTTAAACTAGATGGAATTTTGACTGCGCGCAGTCGAAAATGATGCCTCCGCCATAAAGCAATTTAAACAAGTTTGGAGTTTAAATCTCCAGTGGTTCTTGAGATATCATGATAACAATCTCAATGTATGGAATTTCATAAGTTGACCTCTGTGACCCTTGACCTTTGACCTACGTGCTCCAAAATCTAATCAGATTGTCTTCCTATGGTGATACACACTATCATTAAGTTTGAAGTTTAAATCTCCAGTGGTTCTTGAGATATTATGATATGGTGATACATACTATCATTAAGTTTGAAGTGAAAATTCTCCAGTGGTTCTTGAGATATCGCGATAACGATCTCAATGTATGGAATTTCATAAGTTGACCTCTGTGACCCTTGACCTTTGACCTACGTGCTCCAAAATCTAATCAGATTGTCTTATGTATGGAATTTCATAAGTTGACCTCTGTGACCCTTGACCTTTGACCTACGTGCTCCAAAATCTAATCAGATCGTCTTCCTATGGTGATACATACTATCCTTAAGTTTGAAGTTTTTACATCTCCAGTGGTTCTTGAGATATCATGATAACAATCTCAATGTATGGAATTTCATAAGTTGACCTCTATGACCCTTGACCTTTGACCTACGTGCTCCAAAATGTAATCAGATTGTTTTCCTATAGTGATACACACTATCACTAAGTTTGAAGTTTAAATCTCCAGTGGTTCTTGAGATATCATGATAACAATCTCAATGTATGGAATTTCATAAGTTGACCTCTGTGACCCTTGACCTTTGACATACGTGCTCCAAAATCTAATCAGATCGTCTTCCTATGGTGATACATACTATCCTTAAGTTTGAAGTTTAAATCTCAAATGGTTCTTGAGATATCGCGCTAACAAACTCAATACAAGGAATTTCATAAGTTGACCTCTGTGACCTGTGACCTTTGACCTACATACTCCAAAATCTAATCAGATCGTCTTCCTATGGTGATAAAGACTATTCCCGAGTCTTAAGTTTAAATCTTAAATTGTTCTTGAGATATTGTGATAACGGTCAAACGGGACGGACGTACGGACGTACAACCCGAAAACATGATGCCTCCGGCACCACCTTCGGTGGCGGAGGCATAAAAATTATGGGGAGCCATTAGTAGCCTTAAAATATAATATGTTCAATAGTGAAAATTCAAGTATTTTAGAAATTTTATAAATTTCACATGAAGAACATAAAATCTCCTTGATAATAGAAATCATTGAATGATTTGAATCAACATTTTATGCCTTATAAAATAACTTTTACAAAAAAATTCATAGATGCTAACGGCTTTCCGTAATTGTTAAGTCCAACTTAGAGATAAGTTCGACTTAGGATCTTTGTGAAACACCCCCCCCCCCCCTTGTCTTTCATCTCTCTTTATCAACTGAGCATGGTAGACATTGCTCATATCACTCGAGCAATTTATTATTCTTCACTTGTTCTTAAATATTGGATTGACATCGCACTATGTCAATGAATACCGATATATCCATGGCTGTCGTTGTCACTCTCCTCTCCCTGATATCTAAATCATCCGTCTCCACCCCTCACTGTTCAAGAACTCTAAACATCTTCCTCATAAATTTTTGGGAGTGTTTCACAAAGACTAAGATCGACTTTGAGTTGGACTTGACAATGGCAGGCTGTTCATGCCACTGTTTGCTCTCACCATTGTTGAAGAAAAAAATTCTTAAATATAATGCACATTTACAAAGGTAAGTAACGTTTTTTCTTCAACAATGAACTATCAAAAAATTTAAATTCTGTAGAATTGTGACATCCCTTGAGAGACCAATGGTGAGAACAACTAGTGGCATGAATAGCCTACCATATTTAAGTCCAACTTATAATCGATACTAGTCTATGTGAAACACACCCCTGGTCTACTATCTGTGTTTATCAGAGAGATGTGAGTTGGTCTAGCAGTACATTCACTTGGTCAGCTCTCTGTCTCTTCGCCTACAAACTGGCTCAGATGGACCCCGGTTCGAAACTGAGTCACCTCTTTCGGATGGTGATGTTAAAGGTCAGTCCCCGGACGTAAACAGTCTTGTCTGATTGATTCATGTCTGTAAAAACCCAATTACACACAATGTGTTGATCAACTCAGCATGGTACCACTTCGTGAATTCTAACATTTAAATGGCCATTTCATTCTGTCACTCCCCCATGTTTATATGACCTTTATCCATCATAACCTTGTTCATGAACATCTCCAAGAAAACACATCTACCTCATTATTTCTGAAGGGGGGGGGGTGTTTCAAAAAGATACTAAGTTGAACTTATCTCTAAGTTGGATTTAACAATTATGGAAAGCCGTGAGCATCTTTGAAAATATTTTGAAAAGTTATTTTAAAAGGCATAAAATGTTGATTTAAATCATTCATATTTTCTATTATCAAGGAGATTTCATTTTCTTGATGTGGAATTTATGAAAAGTAAAAAAAAAAAAAACTAGATGGAACTTCGACTGCGCGCAGTCGAAAATGATGCCTCCGTCATAGAGCAATTTTACAAACCAAAACAGAAGAAATTTTTCGAATTCAAGTTCAATTGTAATCCATTAACAGGTTCTCAGAATATTGTGATTACAAGCTATTTTTGCATACATAATGAGCTCATGACCTTTGACCTTATGAACCAAGAATCTACTCAGTTCATTGGCTCTGCAAGAAACATACATGACCTAAGTTGGCAGCAATCCATCAATCGGTTCTTCAGATAACGCGATCACAAGCTCGTTTTGCATACATAATGAGCCCTGTGGCCTTTGACCTTTGACCTCATGACCCCAAAATCTAATCAGTTCATCGGCTCTACAAGATACATACATGACCAAAGTTTGGCAGGAATCCATCAACCAGTTCTTCAGATAACGCGATCACGAGCTCGTTTTGCATACATAATGAGCCCTGTGACCTTTGACCTTTGACCTCGTAACCCCAAAATCTAATTAGTTCATCGGCTCTACAAGATACATACATGACCAAAGTTTGGCAGGAATCCATCAACCAGTTCTTCAGATAACACGATCACGAGAACGGGACGTACGTACGGACGGACGGACAACCCAAGAACATAATGCCTCCGGCTACTTCGTAACGGAGGCATAAAAACACCCCCCTGGTCTACCATGTAAGAGTTTATCAGCCCTACATGTACATCATACTGCTGTCCATGAGTTCTTATATTTTGATGGCCTTTAACCCTTACTGTACTGGGGGGGGGCCTGGGAGGCCCCCCCTCGACATTTTCGGAGATTGCGCCGCAACCGCTTAAAATTTTGAATTGTCGTTTCATGACTTTTTTCCCTCAAGTCTTACGCACGTGTTGATACCATTTTCGTCGCAATCGGATATACCTGTGAGGTGTTACATAACAATTAGTATGCGCATGTCATCAAAAATATGCTATAATTGCATATATTCATGTACAAGCAGAAATGTGAATACAGGTTTAGATGTATTCCTTCCTAAGTGGGTGATATGAATTGATATCGAATTGCTTTTATATGTTTCTCAAAGTAACTTGATGTATTCCAGAACAAAAGAATACATAAGAAATAAAAACAATAGATATAATAAGAAATAAAAAAACAATGAAATACATAAGAAAATAAATATTTGAAAATCGCATCAAATTTGCATAAATTATCATTATTAATTACATCAAAATAAATATTTTGTGTCGGAAAAGAAGTTTCATATGAATAATGAGTTTCAACATTCAAAAAGTGGAGTTTGACACGTTTTCTGTAAAATGCATAAAATTAGCATTTTGCATAATTAATCAGGCTATAACGACAACAATTTGCATATTCGCAAAAAAATAATTACACCATCTTGTTCGTTACGTAAATATCTACAAACATGCAAATTTTCGTGTTCATCGGACATCCGACGGCCGAGATCATAGGGGGGGGCCTCCCAGGCCCCCCCCCAGTCAGGAGGTGCTCAAAATAGCCTAGTACAGTAAGGGTTAATAATAACAAAGATTTCTTATAAAGCGTTTCACCAGTTACAACGGATGGATTCTGTTTGGATTCTGCACACTCTCCACTCCTTGAGGAGCATTCCAGTCAGTCACCTCTTTAACGGGTGCGCACGTGCTAATCCAACCACATTAATGTTTGCATCCTACCGGGTACCCACTGGAGAAGAGCAATGTAGATAAAATACCTTGCTCAAGGAAATGGAAGCTGTTACGAGCATTGAACCCACAACCTTTGCATTCCCAGTCAAGTGATTAGACCACTCGACTTTGACACCTCTACCATTTTTTCTCACTGTTACTCTCCTTCCCACATCGCTAAATCATCTTCATCCATTATAATAATAATAATAATAATATTATGTCTTGTTTGAGTAGCCTCATCAGTATTCATACTGTTCTCCCTGAGGGCCCTGCAATCATATTATTACCCCGGTCATTGGATTCAGGCTTACCCACACAAAATGTATGCACATTCTCCACTCCTTGGGCAGCATTCCAGCCAGGCGTCATTTTTACAAGCACACACTTGCTAATCTAAGCACATTAGCTCTCGCATCCTACCGGGTACCCATTTTAACATCTGGGTGGAGAGTGGCAAATGTAGATCAATGTCTTGCCAAAGGACATTAGTGCCGCAGTGGGACTTGAACCGCGAACCTTGTGATCCACAGTCCGGTGACATATCCACTCGTCCACGACACCTCTAAGAAATGTTTATGAACTCTAACCACAACTAAGAAAATAATTTCCTTATTATTTCCGGTTTACCACCAGTCTTTATCAGCTGGGCATCATACTACTGTCCATGAATTCCAACATTTCCATGGCCATTTCGTTCTCGCTATCACTCTCCTCCCCACCATCTTTGTCATCTTTCTCCGTCCCTTTCTCATTCTCCATCACACCTTGTCCAACATCCAAGACATCCTGCTCTTCCATCTCCTCCCCTTCATCTTCTATTCCTTCTTCATCTAACTCTTCCTCATCTTCTTCATCATCTTCTTCTTCTTCTTCACCTATCGCTACTTCATCTTCTTCACCTGGCTCTCCTTCCTCCTGTGTTTCCGGAGTGGATGTAGATGTTGAAGTCACAACACTCTGACTAGCATTATCTGATGAGACAAAGAAAGGATACTTGAGAGTAAATAGTGTAAAAAGACAAAATCAGATAATAAACAGATGATTCACCACCATATTTAGGTTTACCTAAAACTTTGTGTATACTGTGTGGTCTTGGAAGGGTCAAAATGAAAATAAACTGACTCTACCTTGACAAAAAATCAAATGCACTACAAACAGGAATGAGTACATGGGATAACACCAGGTGCGTACCCCCCCCCCCTTTTGGTAATTTTATGTATGTAAACCCCCCTAAAAAAACCTAAAACCCACCCCCCCTTTTGATCTTTTTTTTTAATTAAAAAAAAAAAAAAAAAAAATTATGCCCACGGCCGACCTAAAAAAGGTGACCTTACCCCCCCCCCCCCCCCCCCCCAACTGAGCAAAATGTCAAATTTCCAAATTTCGAGACCAAAAAAAAGTGTCCTCTTACAAAAATGTACAAAGTTGGTTTAAGTCGTGATCTTTAGATCCCTTTTTGACCATACATTGCGAGACAAACAAATATCACTAGCAATATTATTTTGGATAGGTTTACCTTGCTGCAATTTTTTTGCATTGACTTCCAGCACGGTATCCTTGATCATCTGAGTGAGGGCGTCCCGGAGCTGACGGAACATCTCCACCTCAAAGTAACCCGTCTTCATGTTGGGCCTCTTCTTGTGCCAGAGAGGGTTGGTGACGATGGCCTGGAGCTCTGGGTCCTCCAGATCACACAGCTGGTAGAACATCTGGTGGTATGCCGGTAGGATCCCTCGTCTCATGATGTAGTACGAATCCTACAGGTGTAACAGATATTAATTAATCTATTTTATTAAATTTTATTCATTTCATGTTGAATTGCCGGCAGAAAGGCGTATCATAAATCTCTGTGTATAAGATGCACCTTTTTTCGGAAGTGCGTCTTATGAACAGGTACAAGATTTTTTATATATTTTTTTAGTGTCGATTTATGCCTGGCAATGTCTCCCAGCTCAGTCATACATGGTGTGTTGACTCACCACTCAGAAACTAGAACAACACTACCTGTATGTCTGGATTTCTGTTTGGACTTTGAGGACAAATTTTCTGTCATCTTTAGTTTTAAAAACAACATTGATACTATTATTTGTGACAAGTTCTCAAGCACAAATTCGGCGACTTCAACTGCACCTCGCAGTAAAATAAAGGTTTGTTTGTTAATTCTCGGCCCCCAAAATAGGGGTGCGTCTTATACAAAGAGATTACGGGTAGGCATGTTGCACAGCTCTGCTAAATGCAGGTATGAACTTGCGTTAAGCAGAAAGTCCTTCGCATTAAAATGCCTGTAATTTCATAGGTATCTGCTTATTTGATACCAATAATCAAATTAAGTTACTACAATGGATCTTTCTCTTTAAAAATTCATTTGACGAAGAGAAAATCTCTGTTCTGTTTAAATGGTTAGAGCAGTCAAAACCTCGGAAGCAAGATACCAACAATTTGCTTTGTGGCATGCACACATGCTAATGTCCTTCAGCCAGCGGCTAAATGTTCATTCATTCATTAAATTTCCAGGCAAAGATGAAACAAAACATATAGAGACAAAGAAAGAGAAAAATACCACTGACCAGAGCTCTAGGATGATAGAAAGAAAAATTGGGCCCCATTTCATAAAAATTACCAGTGTCAGATTTCTATTATAAATTTGCTCTGGCTTTTGCTTTGGGTTTATTGCTTCGCCTCTGGCCAGCTCTGATAAGCTCCATTGCGTAGTACCGGACTTTTTTTCGTTTCTGTTCTCATTCATTTGCTTAGCACCAGAATTACATAGTTAGCCCTGGGCCAACTAACCCTGTACTTTAGGTGGGGCTAGCCCACTTTGGCAAATTCGCGTCTGAACAGAAAGTGGATGAAGCTTAGCCCAGGACTATAGGTGGGGCTAAGACACCCCCCCCCCCCCCCCCCTTTAGCTCCATCTATAGTCCGGGGCTATTAAAGCAAAATTTTACCAGTGTGAAAAGCACATGATAGGAAGGGAAATGAACAATCTTGTAACTTACAATAGTTTCCTTATGATCCACCTGCTGACCAGGATTGCTGCCTAGTAGGGGTGTAGGAACACCCTTCTTGTGCTTCAGGGATTGGTGAGGGTAGAGAATCATTCGCTTCTTCTTCAGCAGCAACTTCAATCTCTTGTCAGTCAGCTCTGCAGTAGTTCAACACAGTAGAGAAACATGAATGATCCAGGGGTGATAGTGAGTACTAAAAAAAACCTCCCTCCCCTTGAGTAACAAAAAAAAAAAAAAAAAAAAAAAAAAGGATTCAGGGAGAAAACAATTGCATCTAACAACATTACCCCTCTTTTAAGGGGGTTAGTTTGGGAAAAATTGGGGGAAAATTGGGAAAATCAGAGAAAATCAGGTGAATAGGTGTAAAATCAGAAAGAAAAAGAAATAGCAGAAAAAATAATCAGTTACAAAAAAACAAAAAAAACAGCAAAACGATTTTAATCAGGTAATTATCAGGCCTGAAATCCATCAAAAAAAAAGTTCTGCAATTCAAGTTTGAGCCTTGATATCATCTCTTGTGTTACTAAATTATCATAGATGACAATAGTATCATTGATGAGCCGGTCTATTTCCATTTACAATATGCCCAATTAGTAATGATTATGTAATCATGAACTGTACAGTGCACCTGTACATGTATATAAATGGGGCCAAGTCAAAAGTAAAATGTTGCAAAGTACATTGTTATTCCTTCAAAACACGATCCATCCTCCAATACAAGTGAAGAATTCACTTTTGACAATTATCATTATTATCGTTATTAATATTATTATTATCATTATCACTATCATTATTGTTGTTGTTGTTATTATTATTATCATTATTATTAATAATAATTGCTTCCAAGCAGTTTCTTTCACAATGCAATTGCATAACTGGAACTCAAGTTTATCTTCAAGATAAAATGAAAGATTAAAAAAAGCATTTAACATCCTATAGTGTCTTTGGGTGCACTTTACCTTTCCTTATCCTGAAATCAAGAAGCTGGTATTTCTTTGACTCTGGATGTTCTCTGGGGTCGTACCCCATGCGGCACCACAGCCCTCTCCAGGGACCCTGTTGGAAGTAGTACGCCACCACACAAAGGATACCCTTAATCAGGATGGTTGAGATCTCCGTGTTACATCGCAATGCATTCCGTGACCATAGGGGGCGCTGTTCAAAGAGCTAAAGAGAAGAGAGATCAATGAAAAGGTAATGGGACGTGCTTTTCCTTTACGATGTGCTCATTGAAAATTGTAGATATACACCTGTAAATGTACCTGTATAAGTGTTGCATTGAAATGCATTCAGGAGAGTAGTTGTATTGCCTTCACTTGTACTCTCTCTCTCTCTTGAACTTTCTCTCTCTCTCTCTCTCTCTTGATCTTTCTCTCTCTCTCTCTCTCCCTCTCTCTTTATTTCTCACTCTTGATCTTGGTCTTTAGTCTTTACACATCGCTTGCTTTTGCCGTTAAATTAAATATATATATACAGTTAACAACTACACTATTCATACCCCTTGTAAATTTTTTTTTTTTTTTTGGAACTCAAAATTGAAATATGTACTGGTTGAATGAGGGCCTTTGTTGAATACTTTAAATGTAGTGTAATCTTTAATACATGTATGTCACATTCTCAACAAACATGAATCAGGCCCAATCAATTTATCACATACTTAAACAATTGCAAAACTTGGTAGGGGTACATGTACAGTGTATGTAGCTAGCAATAGTCTTGAGTCAAATACATGATTTGAAGAGACTCATTCTCTACCCTCAAAATGAAAAAAAGGAAAATATTGAGTAGGAAAATAATGAGTAAGAAAATAATCTATAGAACTGCAACTCAAAAATAAACATACAAGTAAAACAAATAAAAAATAAAAAAATGATTACAATTTCAAAGGTAAATTAGGTCATTAAAATGGCACTATTTTCACACCACCTACTAAAAGAACAAGAAAATGAATTTACCTTTGGTCTACATTATTGTTTCTTACTATAAGTATGACATACATGCTATAAAAATTATACAAGAACCCACTTTTAAAGGCATCGTTTAACAATGTTAAATCTGAGATGCATATGGCCCTACAGTGTCTCTGATATGGTGTCATATTGAAGCCCTAAAAATTGCGCTTCAAAAGAGTAAAAATCTTTGGGTAACTGGTTTAATAACCAGGTACTCATTTTCCCCAATAGACTGTAGTGTTTTAAAATTTCGATTTCCAATCATAAATATCTTCATAATCAGACAAGCGATCGGCTAGTAAAAGTCATGGGGTTCCTGAGTGACCTAAAGGTTTATTAATTATCATTGCAGCATGAGCTAAATCCAGGATTTTTGTTTCAGAATCTGATACAAAGATACCCAATCCCTTTAAAGTGACTCAGTAACATTGTTGAAGGTTGATGAAAAAAATTGCTTAATTTTTGTATAAAATGTTACTTACTTTATTCCTTCTACTATACTAACCCTCTGACATGCAAAAAATCCTGAACAAATTCTCAAACCACAAAGATATCTATGGTTTTCTTTGAAGGCGTCGATGTGAGGCACCCTCTAACAGGGATTAACAGTAAATTCTCCCAACCATTTTTGAATTTTCCCAACCGTTTTTCCATGAGAAAAATACATAAAACAGGCTATAAAAATCTGTCAACACTCAACTGTCTGGAATGGAATGTAGAGCCATTTTATTGCTTTGTGACGATTTACATTCACCTAAAATGTAATTAAATTGTCCTTGTCTTGATGCTGAACAGGCTTTGACAAGTAGCAGAATAGAAGTAGAATAATATAGTTGGGAGAATTAAGGAATCGATCAGATCAGTTTTTCCCAATTTGTACCATGAATAATGATCCGTTTTCACTCAAATTTTCAGATTATCTTTAATTGTACATCTAGCATTGAAGTCACTACCTTAGCACCACTATCTCTTATCTGAACAATGTTACAAAGTCCCTTTAATGTTATTATTATTATTATTATAGTATTCTTTTCACAAATTTCCTTTAACTCCTTGTTGTGTTCAGTATTTCCTTCCATTCTTCAAAGAAAGAGTAATCCCCAGTCCAGACAACCAGAGGTCAGTGGAACACTATACAAGAATTGTATAGCTATAAGTTATGTCATTACAATTTTACTGTATAAAGTAGTCTGAACGTTGAATAAAGAAGTGCATAGCCAAATAATGTACATGGCAAAAACAAATGTTGAAGCATCTTTTCAAATAAAGGAGCAGGGTCCTGATTTAGTCTTAATGTTATTGGATGAAACTGAAAAACTGGGCGGGTTTATCGTGAGTGCACTTTGATGATTGGTAGGCTGTTATGTCACCTGACCTTTTCAAATCTAATCAACGTTTCAATTATGTTGTTATGCGTTCTGTACGCACCTTTTGCTATCTGACGATCCTTTATTATATGACGTTTCTTCAAACGATTTTACATGTACATGTACATGTATTTTAAACTTCTTCCAGTTTGAACAGGCTAATGATTTAAAACTTGATCAGCCTTCAACAAATCTGGGGGGTGTTTCACAAATATCCTTGAATAAGTTCAACTTAACTCTAAGTTGGACTATAAAATTATGGAGAGCCGTTTGCAGCCTTAAATAAAATATATTAGAATGCGAAAATTCAAGTATTTTAGACTGTTATTAAAACATCAAGAACATGAAATCTTCTTGATAATAGAAAATATGAATGATTTGAATCAACATTTTATGCCTTGGCTTTCCATAATTGTTAAGTCAAACTTAGAGATTAAAAGTTCAACTTAGGATCTTTGTGAAACACCCCCCAGGGATGATGGCAGGAAATCATTTGCCATTCCTATAATCTCTAATGAGACACGTATTGAATGATCCATAAATCTCACCAAGAAAACTCAATATGTCTTAGGAAACACGTATTAAGCTACAGTCCCATATACGTCCCGGACCGTCCCGGACCATCCCGGACCCCATCCGGGGTGATCCGGGATTCGGTCCGTGTTGACACCGTGTTGGCACCGGGGTGGTCCTGGATGGTCCTGGATGGTCCTGGATGGTCCTGGGCGGTCAATAACTCACTCCCGGACTGCCACGGATCAACACGGACCGCCCCGGCGCCACTACGGATGACCCCGGACCCAGCACGGTGGCTACACGGATTACCCCGGATCAAACTATTGTCCCGGACCGTCCCGGACCACCCCGGCAGTTTTTGACCGTCAAAAACATCCGGGGTCGACTCCCGGACCGCCCAGGACCATCCAGGACCATCCAGGACCATCCAGGACCACCCAGGACCACCCCGGTGCCAACACGGTGTCAACACGGACCGAATCCCGGATCACCCCAGACCATGGTCCGGGATGGTCCGGAGTGGTCCGTGCTCGTCCGTGCTGGTCCGGCTTTATATGGGACTGGGGCTTTACACTTTGAGACAGGATATTGCTGCCTAACTTCCTTTTTCGATGATCTCTCAGAATGTTATCAAAGTAATAAAATAGTCTTAACAAGTTAATGTCAAACTCATTTAAAAATAATGTTGTATTTCAGCAAAATTATTCTGATCATCTGCATGTAAATAATCTCCCCTATAATGTCAATGTATAGAATTGGCTTTCCTTCTAATTTAGGGGGTTTAAATGTAGAGTATTTGGCCGATCTAAAGTTAATACTTTACTTATGATTCAAAGGTCAACAGATTATAATGCTCTCGATAAATGTAAACACATTTAATTACACTGTAGCATGTGCATATTTGCATAAAGTTCTAGCTGCAACCTTGAATAACTTAGATGCCATGAATACTATACACCACGCAGTACATGCATCTATTGAGCATGTTCTGGATGTGAACCACTGGTTTGTCATAGTTATGGAAGTGATGTCAATCGTCCGTCCGTCCGTCCGTCCCAGCGGTCTGTAAGAGCCAGGGGCATTCCTGGAATACCAGAAATGTCTAGTCAAACTAAGACCTAGATGTGAAGAATAGATCCTGCTCACTGGAGAATAAAGGGCAGCCTTTGTTGCATTGTACATTAATGTAGCATCAGCAAAACACAAAAGAAAAGGAGAACTTTCATTGGTTTGCAGCACTCAGGAGGCCTTCAGTCATACGAAACTACTTTTAATATAGTAACTGGTGGTCTAGAAGACAGTTGGAATATTACATTGCTCTTTTGAGAATGTGCAGGGCACCGGACAAAGCTGTCTCAGGCTGTGTTGAATAACAAGGACTGAAAAGACCACTAGTGTTATATAACATCAAATGCATCACATCATCTGGCATTACTATTTGAGGTGGTTTGACAGCTAAAGTCTGTCTGTCTTCAGTTTGTGAAATAATAGGCAACTAACATGACGCAGGAGTACCCAGCAGTCTTGGCGACATTCCTCCTCGTCTTCTTCACGACGGTCGGCTGCAATCTGATTCGGTCTCTGACCAAGAGAATCCTGCGCAACGATCCGGTCTGGTACAGCTATGCTGCGGAACTCATCTCCACGTTCCAACTCGTCGCAGGCGTCATAGAGGGCGACATCATCCTGGAGGAGTACGGCCTCTACTGGTACGCTCTCTATCTCTGGATTCTCTTCGTGTCTGAGAGCCTTACGTTCGACGGCGACTCCACAGCCAACACCTGTATGATCTGGCAGTCCATGCTCAAAGGTGACTTTAGCCCTGGGGTGGCGCTGTCCAAGATATGCCTTCAGGTGGTCGGAGGGCAACTAGCGTATCCCTACGTGCGCTTCATGTGGAAGGTGGTGCCGACCAACCGTCATCAGAGGAAGGTCTCGCACCTGCTACAGGTCTACTGTGCTTCTGCATTGAATGTCTCTATCCTGGAAGGTGGCTTTGCAGAAGCTTTGGCCACCCTGACCTATTTCATGACCCTCAACTTTCAGCCCAAAGGAAAGTACAGTGGAATGTTTGCTGATGCCGCAATCCAGGTTTTGATCATCGTCACAGGTAAATGAGTTTCAAAAGAAACAATGATACATCTTTTGTGTACAGTTCGCAAATCACAAAAATGATATTTGATAAAGAAGTTGTAATCAAGTCAGAGGCGTTTTGAGAATTGACTGTTTAGCCTCGGTCACAAATGCCAGTACAAACTGCTACAAACGCAGTACAAACGATTTTCAGACAATGGAAAAACAGAGATTTGTACGAACGCATCGTTTGTACGAACCTTTGTGACCGTAGCTTTAAATTCATGTATCATAAGAAGAATAATTTGCTTGCAATCTTTCAATAGTTTTACTTTCCCAAGTCAGAAGTTTTTTGAGAATTGACTCTTTAAAGGCCAGCTGCACTAGTTGGCTAGGGGGGGGGGGGGATTAGACCACCCAGGGTGGTCACTGACAGGCAGCATTCTCATAAATTCAGCTCTCAATTAACATAAGAAAAAGAGGATCATTGGGGACCAATGGTCACTGATTAGGCCATTACAAAAAATTTACATGTTAACCGTCCCCGCCCTATATCCTCCTATATTTTTTGACTTTGTTTTTGTTGTTGAAATTGTTTAAAAATAATTTTTAAAAAAATTTTGATTATTTTTTTAAACAAAAAAAAACATGGGAAACACTGCTATAATGGATCTATTTCTGATTTAAAATTTTTTTAAAAAAATCTTGGCAGTCATCTTGAAAAATAGCCTGACTGTCAGGGAAATTGTACCGAGCGGCCATTTTGTAAAAAAGGAAAAAAGGGCCTCCTTCCTATTTTTTCACAAAAGCAGGACGCTATTTTTTTAAATTTTGCCTTAGACATTGTTTTCAAATTTATGTATAGAGGAAGCAGGTAGCTTCATGTAGTACAGTGGGGCTTTAATATCATAAGAAGAGTAATTTGCCTGCAATCTTTCTATATTGATACTTTCCCTCTTGATTGTCAAGGTTTGGAGTGGACTGGGATGATGTTTAACCCCGCCCTGGCCGCAGGAATCACCTTGAACTGTGGTAACCAAAGCCTCTTGGAGCACCTCTTGGTCTACTGGGCTGCACCGCTGGCGACCGTCCCTCTCGCCAGGGCCATAGCAGGCGCCTTCAACAGGCCAACACCAGCGGTACCCCCTACCAAAGAGGACTAAGGGGGTACCGTCATTATTCAGGGTGCCATGGACTTAATTCAGGCACCACTACAAGGATAGGGGATTTCATCATTACTGTTTGGACTGCATCTCTGAGCTACATGTATACCCCTTTAGCTAGGGCCAATATAAGCCCCATTGAAGGGGCAGTACCATGCATGCACCATAGAGAAACGAGGTGGTATCTAAAGGTTTTTTTTTTTTGGGGGGGGGGTCGGTGAATCGTATCATCATCATGAAAGGATTGAACAAGGACTTGGTTTAAAAGGTCTTGAATACATTAGAAGCAAACTCTTCTGTAAATTCATCATTTCATTTTAATAGTTAAATGAAACGGGTCTGAATGAATCGTAAGCGCGAAATTGAACATGACACAGGGTTTAAAGCTAATCTTGAGCTCTAGTTTGGGAATAGCATTTTGAGAGAAAATTGCTATGATTCTGGATTGCAGATTTGCAGTAGATTGGTTGTTTGAACCAGTGAAATAAAAACAAACACACAATGACTTTAAATACTGGGCATCATCTTAAAGATAGATAAAAAACACTACTCCCATTCGTACATAGAGATCTGTGTTAAGCACATGGTGTCGGGTCTATCCGGATTTCCTTCAATATCTTTCTATGCTCATTACTCAGCCACTATACATTTTCTACCAAAATCATTTGGCATTATGTCATTTATATATGTAATCTTGAAAATTCAGTGTAAGTTTCGTTGGAATTCTGTGTGAATTTATTTTCTATATTTACCAGAACTCAAGTTTAACTTTAATTGCTAGACTGTACAGTGTAGATGGCACAAAATACGCCATGTGCTGTACTCATATTGGCATGGGCTAGGCTTTACTAAAGATACTAAGATAAACTTGGTACAGATATTTATTTGAAGTGGAAAATAACAGTCTATGCCTGTAAACTAATCATCTATATAGGTCAATTTCAAATGGGATTAATAGCAATATTAATTATTAAAAGAATTACAGTATTACTGTAGCTTATTGTTTATTTACTGATAAAGGTACAGGTTGATGTATGTCCATTGACAAAAATTAATCTGCTATCATGATGTACTGTACATATAGCATCAACTTGGGCAGTGGTTGTAAAAGAACTGGAGGCGCTAATTCTAATAAATAAAATAAATGATATTTCAGAACAGAGCTGATATGGTGTGTGTCTTTGTGTATTTACGGGTAAACAATATATTGAAAAAAAATGGAAGTGATGAGTGTCCATTTCCAGAAAAATATAAATCACCCTCTGATTTTGAGACAATAAAAGATACATACACTGTTTATGTACATGTAGCCCTTGCATGCAAGTTTATCTGAGACTTTAAGACACAACACTACACTCCCCCCACCTATCCTCTCCAGCCGGCGCTATAGTTCTCCTTAGACATACATGTACAAGCTAAGAAAGATACGGTAACCAACAGTCTTTCTCAATTGAGATTGGAATATATCTTTTTGGTGGACAGTTGCTGGAATTTCTCAAGACTACACCAATAGTCCTTTTCAGGACTACACACACTCAAGAAAGAAAGATTATCAAAAGTCCTTTTCAGGACTTCCCAATCCTCCCTCTCTCTTACATGGTGCAACCGCAAGCCTACCGTACTGTATAACTACAGAAATGTCGGTTTGATTTCTTGTACTGGCAAAGACATATTTTGGACAAGGTTCTGTTTCTTTAAATATTACTAGGTATTAGAACTAGGTACATGTACTAATCATACACGCATCAATTGAACAGTTACATGTACTTGAGGCTCGTTCAGATATGACACGATACATTGCTGTCTTATTCGTTAACATGTAAATACATGGCAACTGCACACAAGACAGATCCTGCCCATATTTACTGAGCTCTCTAGGACACCTACCCCTGGATAACAAACCCCTGGATAACCACCCCCAGTCAACTACCGACAACTAAGACAACTACCCCCTAGGACGACTACCCCAGGGACAACTACCCCTGGGACAACTACCCCCAGACAACTACCCCCTGGATAACCACCCCCAGTCAACTACCGACAACTAAGACGACTACCCCCGGGACAACTACCCCCCGGCAACTACCTCCCAAACAACTATCCCCTAGGACAACTATCCCCTAGGACAACTACCCCCTGGATAACCACCCCCAGTCAACTACCGACAACTATCCCCTAGGACGACTACCCCCGGGACAACTACCCCTGGGACAACCACCCCCCAGACAACTACCTACCAGACAACTATCCCCCCGGACAACTACCCCCTATACGACAACCATCATCTAGGACGACTACCCCCCGGACAACTATCCTAGGGGGTGGTTGTTTGGGGGGTAGTTATTTGGGGGTAAGTTGTCCTGGGGGTAGTTGTCCTAGGGAGTAGTTGTCCGGGGGGTAGTTGACCTGGGGGGTAGTTGTCTGGGGGGTAGTTGTCCGGGTGTAGTTGTCCTGGGGGGTAATCGTCCTAGAGGGCGGTTGCCCTAGGGGGTACATGTAGTTGTCCTAGGGGGTAGATGACTAGGGGTGGTAATCCGGGGTGTGGATGTCCAAGGGGGTAGGTGTCCGGATACAGATAAGACATGTGAAGCATATTACACTTTACGCTACATAATGAACCGCCACAGTTTTGCACGCAACCCTTGAAATAAGCGGCTAGGAACCAGGGGCAATTTATTTTCAAAAGTTGCCCTTGGTTCACGGGATTTAGCCAGAACCAGGGGCAATTTTCCGAAAACAGATGACAACCAATTACACAAGTTAAATAAGCTCAAACATACAACAATGTTAATCTCAAAATGTGAATCCGATCAATTTTAATAACTTCTTAATCTTAACAAGATCAACAGGTTTAGATTGTCATTATTATGATTAAGAACATCGACTAGCACATTTAAACAGTATTTCAATGGAACTAAAAATACTGATGAGCAAATATATAAATAAATCGTAAATTTCACAAATATCGGAAGTCAGATGGAATTGGCAAGTCTATCCCAAATAGATCAAAATCGCACCTTGCACACAAATGATCAAATAGCAAAGAATTTAGGAGTATCATGAATACCAATTCAATGGAAATTTGTAATGAAAAAAGAGCCTCTATCATTACTAAAAAGAGCTCCTGTGAGAAGCCTCTCAGGAGCCCTTTTTTTTTTTTTGAGGAGCCCCCTAGGAAAAAAAGTTAATTCCAGGCTTGGAAATGATCTACAGGAAAGAAATCTTCTCACCTTTGTAATCTCATCCGTAGTGGCTCCTGGTTTCTGAGCTTCAAGCTGTTCTACAGCAATCGGATGGGGTTTCTTTGGAATCTCAAAATCACCCATGGTCGACACGACATGGGCATAGTTGGTCCGCTTGTGCCTCCCGTGCTGAATGAGCTTGGCACGAAAGTCCATCTCGTGCTGCTGCTTGGAGTTCGGGAGCTGGTGGCCTGCCTTGTAATTGTAAGGGATGGGTTTGTCGAACTTGGAGAACATCTCAGGTAGCATGAAAGATGGAGTGTCTTTGTCCACATAACTAATATCCTCACCGGCCGAAGGGAGGATCTTCCCAATCAGGCTCTCCGCTTCTCCCCCGCTGGATTTGTGTTCGCACGGCAGGTATTGAAAGTCACACAGGTCTGTATTCAAGATATAAGAACATATGGGGAAATATGACAAGAACGTTATCTCAAGGGCTGGTATAAATCTGGTCTTATTTTGGTTCAGTGAAGAAAAAAAAACGGGGGCTCAGGGCAAAATAGCCCCCGAAATGCCCCAAAGAGCCCCCAAAAATCAGTAAAGAGCCCCCTTAAATTTGCATAGAGTTTAATGCAAAACAAATTTTAGAATGTTATTTTCATGCAGGTAAGGTTGAAAAGTAGCCCCCAAAAATAAATATTTTTTTCCCTGTTTTGGTATACAGTAACATGTAGGTCTGATGTACAGTACATGCTATAAAGGCCTAATTTATAATGATAGGAAACAATTTGACATTGGTTTAATGGACACGACAGACACCAGCCCAGCAGGAGTGATCTCAGGCTTGGTATTCTGGGTATTCCCCTAGTTTAACATCGAGTCAAGTCTATAACTTTTTCGTCATACATGTACATGCATTATCCATCTTTCTGCAGGACAATAACAAGCCAAAATTGAAGGTACTATACCGCATTTGAAAAAACTCAAGCAAATTTTGTTCAAATATTTTGTTTTGAGAATCGATGCAGGATTATATAAAACAAATATGGACTGCATATTTTTCGGGTCGTGGTTAAAACTATAGCTGTACACAACATAAAGAGTTTATTATTTACAATTTCATAACTTTAGACTTGATTTCAACCGCGACAAAGATCACTGAATATTGCAGGATGGCATATTGCTTCCAATATGTTCATTTTAACCAAATTCATGACCCCATACCAAAACTTTGTATTGTATTACTTTTAATAGCTGAAATTTTCTGGTTTTCTATTTAAATAGGAAAGCCAAGATATACAAATAACATTTTGGCCACAATCTTGTAACACAATGAGAGATCAAAATATATATATATCCACTTACATGGAAATTCATATTTTTGTCCAATCACACCAAGAACCTCTGCAGAATATTGCCCGTTTGCTGAATTCCCATCCATCTCTCCGTGGGAACCAGTCTTCAGACCTCCAACTTCACTGTCTATCCTCCTTCTGTATCGACGTTTGACCTTCATGAGTAGGGACGTAGACCTGCAGGCCACGCCTCGAGCTGGCTTACAGTAAGGGTTACCAGGCTGGAAGTTGAGTGAGAGGGGTGCATGGTCATCATTAAAAGCCTGAAAGGAAAAGACAGAGCAATTAATTAAAGCATAAACAGCAGGATTTTTTTTTCTATTTTCATTTCCCAGCAGTAATATTTATTTATTTACATGTACCGGTATTCATTTATTTACTTATTTAGCAATCCATGTAGACCCGGCGGTCGGGTGCGCGTGCGCGCGTGTTAAGTTAGCGACTGTAATCTTAGTTTACGGTCACTAACTGAACACATGCGCGCCTGCATCCCACCGTCAGTACGGTATGCAATTGTATTGTGCTGCAGTTTGCCGTGAATCCTTTGAGAAAGTGCATATTATAAGTCTTTGTTTTTAGAAAATACATAGAATCTAGTATCTATTCCTAGAGGTCTACTGTGAAAAAGATAAGAAAATTGACACGAAACAGGTAACAAACAAACATAGTGTCTACATGTATGTAGGCCTAGGGCTAGGCCTATACTTTTAAATCATGACCTTTATTTGGACATTTGATGAATATTTCACTTCATCTCCACGCCGGAGTTACGGGTCAAAGTTTGGATAGACTTCTGAACTAGCGCCAAAATTCAATCATGCATCATGCTAACTCCGGGAAGCTCCAACACCGGCGCCGCAGGCGTCGGAGCTTCGGTAAAACTGTCGTGGGGGCTTCTAAAACAGCCGATGGGGTAACATTATTGTTAAATCTGCAAAGGTAGTACTTACAATTTTTACACCATACTCAGGGCATAACATTAACAATGATCACTTGAATTCATAATTTGAAGAAGTCTTCGATGGGAAAAAAAGGGTTATTCAGAGCCCTACACAAACGATTCTTCCATGTCGCGGCGTCGATTCAAAATGGCGAAGAGACAGTACGCAAGAAAGTATGAATATTCATGCTATCGAGCGCCGATCGCTCGAAATTGCTGAATATGCCCTTCTCAAAACCTTGTGCATATTCAGCGATTTTGAGCGATCGGCGCTCGATAGCATGAATATTCATACTTTCTGCGGCTCTGCCGCGCATGCGTACTGTCTCTTCGCCATTTTGAATCGACGCTGCGACATGGAAGAATCGTTTGTGTAGGGCTCTGAATAACCCTTTTTTTCCCCATCGAAGACTTCTTCAAATTATGAATTCAAGTGATCATTGTTATGCCCTGAGGATTCGTGCACCCTATGATGTAAAAATTGTAAGTACTACCTTTGCAGATTTAACAATAATATTACCCCATCGGCTGTTTTAGAAGCCCCCACGACAGTTTTACCGAAGCTCCGACGCCTGCGGCGCCGGTGTTGGAGCTTCCCGGAGGCGCATATTTTTTTTACACAACTGTTTAGCCATTTTCGCGAAAAAATTCCAAGAAGTGCTCTGGTAAAAGAGTCTAAGTCGTCAGCGCACTATTTATGTGCAAGCACATACACCCAGGGAAAGGAAGATGATAGAAAGGGGAAAACACGGATAGTGGAGAAGATATGGAGAAGGGAAAAACAAGGAAATGCATAGGGAAAGAGAAGAGGACAAGTCAAAGGAAAAACATAGAAATACATAATTGAAGAGCTAAGATGATCATAGATCTAGACTAAGGAAAAACAGGGAAATACATAAAGAAGGAGAAAGGGAATCTATCAGATTAAACCAAAGAAATAGATGACGAAGGAGAAAAGGATAGATTGAAGGTGAAGACAGAAATACATAATGAAAGTGAAGAGAGGATAGATTTAACCCGAAACGAATAACGAGTATACACAGTCATGTACAGCTCCAGCAATCCAACAAATCTAGACTCTGTCTCTAGTCGTTTGCACAGTATATTTGACTGAAGTGGCTAAACAGTTGTGTAAAAAAAATATGCGCTTCCCGGAGTTAGCATCGTGCCGGGTTATTACTAGCCTTTTGACAAGGCCTCGTGACTCTAAGCGGCTGAGATGAGTCTAGATACCCGGAGTGAACGCGCGACCGAGTGACGGAACGTCACGAGGCCTTTTGAGAAGTGGGTTTCACTGCTCCGCATGAATTATTCATAGATACATATTAGCATGCCAATACGCCTACTTTGGATTTATTGACCAATCAGAACGGCGATCTCCCAGTTGGCTTCGTTCGTGATTCGTTCCATGTAGAGGTCAGTGGTCTTAGCACGTACGTAATAGTTCATAGCATGTAGGTCCATGTTCGCACTACGTAGAGTTTACTGTGTGTGTGTGTGTGTGCGTTTGTAAATGGCCGCGAACGTGGACCTTTGTAGGAATACACACCTTCTAACCATGGACGCCCGGCGAAGGTGGACGTCCACGGTTCTCTTTTATCTTTAATATGACTTTTTACGGCTAAACAAGTACCATATCAAATAGGAGACTCGATTGGAGCTAGGTCCACGATAACCGTTAACAAATCTGATACACCGGTGTGCATATCATTACGACCGACTAGGATTAATGATCGGTGGGACAAAATTACTCGATCGGCGGATTTCATTTCCGTCTGCTGCCAGCTTTGGATCAGTTTAGGGGAGTCCCTGTTTTACCTTGTGATTTCAGATAACGCGCGTTAGCGAGGTCTTGACGGGGACGTCGGACTTCCGGGTACTCTGGCCTGAGCTGCACGGGACGCGCCCCGCGGCTTAACGGCGCGGTGCCCGTCTTCTACAAGTAACATTTCGAGTCGCTAGCTGCATGCTGATTGATGGCGATGCCGAAACGGATGGTCAACAAATATCTTTAATTAAAGTAAGTAAAATTATATATTTGATGGAAGAAAAGTATAGAGCTAGGTCTTAATCTGGGACAATACAGTACGTATTTTTAAAACACTTTTGACAAATCTGTCAAAATTACTTTTCAAAATAGTCTAGGAAGGGCATTTTTAAACGTGCTCGAGACCTAGCCATAGAGTAAAGCCTAGTTTTTTTTTCTATAAAATGCCACTAAAATAACAAATATTTCTTCTCGCTTGAGTTAACATTGACCTTTTTTGTCCATAGTGCCAAAAATGGCTTGCGCCAAATTAAAAGAAGAGGGGAAATAAAATCAGCAATATGATTTTAAGTAGGCCTCTTTGCGAACGTGGACATTTGCAGGAATACATACCTTCTAACCATGGACGCCCGGGAAAGGTGGACGTCCACGGTTTTCTTCTATCTTTTGTTTGCATGCAAAAGAGCAATTGATTTGAATGGGAGTATAATCAGCCTTTTTTTTTTAAATGCACTGTTACTGTATTAGAGAAACTGACTGAAAAATGAGTAAAAAAGGGTGTTCATATCTAAAGTAGATTGAGTCGAGATCTAGATCTAGATCTATTTAGTCAGGAATTGATTTGAATGGGAGTATAATCGGCTTATGTTTATATGCACTGTAACTGTATAAATTGGAGAAACTGACTGAAAAATAAGTAAAAAAGGGTGTTCATATCTAAAGTAGATTGAGTCGAGATCTACTTAGTCTGGAATTGATTTGAATGGGAGTATAATCGGCTTTTTTTTATATGCACTGTAAATGTATAAATTGGAGAAACTGACTGAAAAATAAGTAAAAAAGGTGTTCATAATCATATCTAAATTGGATTGAATCTAACTTTTCTTAGGCAATAATGTCATCGCACGTACCAGTACGTTAGTTAAAGTTAGACTAGACACATTTCTATCCGACTATGAATTGAACTGATAATGATCCAGTGAGATAAAAAAATAAACATGATCTAGATCGATCTAAACCTGTAATAATAAATCCCCCTCACCTCAGATATAGGCTCTTTATTTTTCATCTTTACCAGCTAGACCTCTACCTTAATTTGAGGTGTCTTGGTCGAGTGAATATGTCACCGGGCTGTGGATCACAAGGTCCGCGGTTCAAGTCCTGCCGCGGCACTAATGTCCTTTGGCAAGACATTGATCTACATTTGCCACTCTCCACCCAGGTGTTAAATGAGTACCCAGTAGGATGCAAAAGTTAATGTGGTTTGATTAGCAAGTGGCGCTTGTAAAATGGCGACTGGCTGGAATGCTCCCCAGGGAGCGGAGAATATGCATACAAAGTGTGACCCGGGTATTAATATATATCTGTAAAGCACATTGAGAGAGCCTGTGGTCCTGAAATGCGCTATATAAGGACAAACTATTATTATTATTATTATTATTAATTTCTGCATTTGAATTGAAGTCTGTTTTCGCCATTAGCATTATTGACTACGTTGCACACCACTCTGATATCTGCAGTGTGTTTATCTTCAATCTGACAATGATGAAAAATGAACTTTTACAGATGTAAGAGCTTAGAAGGAACATTACTTATAGACTAGTAGAATCTAGATCCTTATTGAAGCGAAAGACTGCACGATATTTGATGCCCACCTAACAATCACTAGAAAAGGTTGAGATAGATCTATAAACCTAGTCTAGTTTCTGTTGTTTAGAGTTTGTTTGGCTTAACTTAATACTAGTCTTAAGCATTTATTTAACTTTAGAATCAACCCTAAATCATAACAGTCAAATTTAGGTTTTTATTGTTTTTTTTCTTCAAATTTTCACCCTCTTTATTTTCCACAGCTAAAACAATGACTATGGATGATCTTCCTCCCCCTCCTCCTCCTCCTTCTCGTTCTTCTTCGTTGTCTTCTATTCCGTCTGTTACATCAAGCAGTTCAAAACCTTCCGATCCATCTCTTCATCAGTCTACTCAGTCACTGCCCTCACTTCTTGAACTTTCTATCTCTGATCTGCCTTCTTCTACTCTCCCCAGCATTGGTCTTTGCCCTACTCCATCTTTTCATCCCTGTCATCCTCCATCTTTTCATCCCTGTCATCCTCCATCTTCTCTGCCCCTGCATGCTTCTTCTTCTGCAAATGATGATCCACTACATGGATTGTCTTGTCAGTGCTTTGTCTTCTTTTTTCTCCATCTCTTGATCATTCTTTGTTTTCTTTACATTATCATGGTCGTATCGTATCTTTTTCTTTAAATGTTTGTCTTCATCTTCTTTGTCTGTGTATGCATGTTCTGAACGTAATGTTTCTATCCCTGCTATACTAGCT